CAAAACGGCTAAGTTCAAATTCTTTTTGCATATGTTGATATTTATTGGTTTTATTCATAAAGCTCTTTTTGCTAATTGAAATTTGATAGCTACTAATAATATGATGATATAAATTTTTAAAATCAACCTGGCTTTATGTAAGTTAATGGTAAGATAATTTTGTTTAGTTCCCTCGCTTAGTGAGTTTTGCTGTGACATTGTTCCAGCGTGATACTGGCGAACGCACATCTCTGGCAAGTCGTGACGGTGGTTCCATCGACACTGATGCAGGCTTATCTACAAAGTACATATTTCCATCACCAGTGTCAACTGAATCGAACTCTTCTGACTCTCGTCGGTCGTCGTGGATGCCTCGGCTCTTGAGTCGTCAACGTACGAGCTCTATGATTCGACCACAACTGATCGTGTCAGACTATACGCAAGTAGATGACGCACCCGCACCGAGCTAACGGGAAGACCAAGATCTTATTTTGGATTTTATTTTGCTCTGGTAGTTGAATTTTGAACATAGAACGGATATGTCGGGATATACAGTAGTCATTCCCTCCTACGGTACAATTTCAGAGCTCATTTTGGAAGGGGAGCGATGTCAACACTAGTATTTCTCAGTCTCCAACTTTTGGATCTCCTGAGATTCATTAGAGGTTTACTAAATCAGCAAATTTAATACTTTTTAAAAAAATCTTTAACGGAATAGCAACAAAGCTGTCCTGTCTTTCTAAAATAGATTGAATGCGACGCTCTTTGATTCTCTCAAGAAAAAAGAAGAGATTAGCTGAAATTCGGCGGGACAGCAAACCGTTAACGAGTTTTGGGAAACCTAGTACAATAATCGGGCAGTCTGGAATAAGACCAATCAGAAATTTTCAGGAACGTCAGCAGGGTGATTTCAGTTATCAAGCAATCACCCTTTTCAAAACAAAAAGCGATGTAATTTGAAGATTTTCAACGCATATACTATAAATTAGGGTACTCTTCTTGCTTCTCAAGCTTTTGGTGCCTATAGCAATAAATAGGATGCTCGCAGTAGTCCAACTAGCTAATAAACTAGTACCACCGTCTTGACTCGTTTTTGCTTTCAAAATTCCCTAAGCTTCCCTTGAAAATAAACCCATAAATAATTTCCTTTGGTTAATGTATCAGAAACAATAAGCCTTTAGGCTCCAC